GCCAAACCCACGCCAACCCCACGCCAAACCCACGCCAAACCCACACCAAACGCACGCCCACTAGTAACCCAAACCCACACCAAATCCACGCCAAACCCACGCCAAACCCACGCAAAACCCACGCCAAACCCACACAAAACCCACGCCAAACCCACCCATGCCAAACCGACGCCAAACCCACGCTAAACCCACGCCAAAACACCAAACCAACGCCAAACCCATGCCAAACCCACGCCATACCCACGCCAAACCCACGCCAAACCCATGGGTTACTAGTGGGCGTTACTAGTGATCCAAACCCATGGGTTTGGCGTGGGTTTGGCGTGAATTTGGGTTACTAGTTGGCCTGGGTTTGGCGTGGGTTTGCCTTGGGTTACTAGTGGGCGTGGGTTTGGGTTACTAGTGAGCGTGGGTTTGGCGTGGGTTTGGGTTACTAGTGGGCGTGGGTTTGGAAACCCACACCAAACTCACGACAAACCCACGCCAAACCCATGGGTTACTAGTGGGCGTGGGTTTGGAAACCCACGCCCAACCCACGCGAAACCCATGCCCCCTAGTAACCCAGACTTACGCCCACTAGTAACCTAGACCCACGCCCACTAGTAACCCATGGGTTTGGGTTACTAGTAACGCCCACTAGTAACCCAAATCCACGCCCACTAGTAACCCATGCGTTTGGGTTACTAGTAACGCCCACTAGTAACCCAAACCCACGCCCACTAGTACCCAAACTTAGGCCCACTAGTGGGCGTGGGTTTGGAAAACCACGCCAAACCCATGCCCAACCCACGCCTAACCCTCGCAAACCCACGCCAAACCCATGGGTTACTAGTGGGCGTTACTGGTGACCCAAACCCATGGGTTTGGCGTGGGTTTGCCTTGGGTTACTAGTGGGCGTGGGTTTAAGTTACTATTGGGCGTGGGTTTGGCGCGGGTTTGGGTTACTAGTGGGCGTGGGTTTGGAAACCCTCACCAAACCCACACCAAACCCATGGGTTACTAGTGGGCGTGGGTTTGGAAACCCACGCCGAACCCACGCCAAACCCATGACCCCTAGTAACCCAAACCCACGCCCACTAGTAACCCAAACCCACGCCCACTACTAACCCATGGGTTTGGGTTACTACTAACGCCCACTAGTAACCCAAACCCACGCCGACTAGTACCCAAACTCAGGCCCACTAGTGGGCGTGGGTTTGGAAACCCACGCCATACACACGCCAAACCCATGCCAAACCCATGCCAAACCCTCGCCAAACCCACGCCAAACCCACGCCCAGTAGTAAGCCAAACCCACGCCAAACCCACGCCAAACCCACGCCGAACCCACGCCGAACCCACCCCAAACCCGCGCCAGACCCACGATGACTAGTAACCGAAACCCACGCCCACTAGTAACCCAAACCCACACCCACGAGTGGGCGTGGGTTTGGAGTGGCTTTGGCGTGGGTTTGGCGTGGGTTTGGTGTGGGTTTCCAAATCCACGCCCACTAGTAACCCATGGGTTCGGGTTACTATCGAGTGTGGGTTTGGCGTGGGTTTGGGTTGATATCAGGCGTGGGTTTGGCGTGGGGTTGGCGTGGGGTTGGCGTGAGGTTGGCGTTGGTTTCGCGTGGGTTTGGCGTGGGCTTGGGTTACTAGTGGGCGTGGGTTTGGCGTGGTAGTGGGCGTGGCTTTGGTGTGGGTTTGGCGTGGGTTTGGCGTGGGTTTGGCTTACTCGTGGGCGTCAGTAGTTACCCAAACCCACGCCCACCAGTAACCCAAACCCACGCCAAACCCACGCCAAACCCACGCCCGCTAGTAACCCATGGGTCTGGGTTACTAGTGGGTGCGGGTTTGGTGTGGGTTTGGCGTGGGTTTGGCGTGGGTTTGGCATGGGTTTGGCGTGGGTTAGGCGTGGGTTTGGGTTACTAGTGGCCGTGGGTCTGGAAACCCACGCCAAACCCACGCCCACTAGTAACCCATGGGTTTGGGTTACTAGTAACGCCCACTAGTAACCCCAACCCAAACCCACGCCAAACCCACGCCCACTAGTAACCCAAACCTACGCCAAACCCACGCCAGACCCACGGCCGCTAGTAACCCAAACTCACGCCAAACCCAGACCAAACCCACGCCAAACCCACGCCAAACCCACGCCAAACCCACGCCCACTAGTAACCCAAACCCATGGGTTTGGCGTGGGTTTGGCGTGTGTTTGGCGTGGGGTTGGCGTGGGTTTGGTGTGGGTTTACCGTGGGTTTGTTTTACTAGTAACACCCGCTAAGAACCCAAACTCACACCAAACCCACGCCAAACCCACGCCCACGAGTAACCCAAACACATGGGTCGGGCGTGGGTTTGGTGTGGGTTTGGCGTGGGTTTGGCGTGGGTTTAGCGTGGGTTTGTGTTACTAGTAACGCCCACTTGTAACCGAAACCAACACCCACTAGTAACCCATGGGTTTGGGTTACTAGTAAAGCCCACTAGTAATGCAAACCCACGCCCACCAGTAACCCAAACCCACGCCCACTAGTAACCCATGGGTCTGGGTTACTAGTGGGCGTGGGTTTGGCGTGGGTTTGGGTTACTAGTGGGCCTTACGAGTAACCCAAACCCACGCCAAGCCCACGCCCACTAGTAACCCAAACACACGCCAAACGCACGCCAAACCCACACGAAACCCATGCCAAACACACTCTAAACCCACGCGAAACCCACGCCAAACCCACGCCCACTAGTAAACCAAACCCATGGGTTTGGCGTGGGTTTGGCGTAAGTTAGGCATGGAGTTGGCGTGGGTTTGGTGTGGGGTTGGCGTGGGGTTGGCATGGGTTTGGTGTGGGTTTGGTGTGGGTTTGGCGTGGAGTTGGTGTGGGTTTGGCGTGGGTTTGGCGTGGGGTGGGCGTGGGTTTGGCGTGGG